CCTTTCAAACCTTAAGTTGGGCATGTTTATTCAAGCAAAACGCACCGGATAGCCTTGATTTCTGGCCGTAGTAGAACGTCCACGAGATGAACCTTGCATCTGTTCTGAATCACTAAGACTCAAGTTGCCCAAGTCTGGTACATACACTGAACCCTGGAGACTCGAGTCATCTGCACTCTGAAATTCAAGTGTATTTTGAGAAGTTCGATTAGTTAAACAATCAGATGCATAGGTCCAATGAATGTCTCAAATCAGTCGACCGTTGTCGTAACAGACTTCAATTCGGAAAGTCTAAACTGACACCACTTCACTCTTAATATAAGCAGCAAAACCGCCTCTTAATAGTGAGGATAAAGCGGACACTGTCTGGTGCATCCCTAACATGTGCATTAGCGTTTTTGATACCAGAAGATGTAGCATGCATAAATTGGCGTAAAGTCTATCGTCCATACAGTGTGCGCTCAGTATTAGGCGCCTTTTAATTCAGAATTTAGTACAGCATAGTGTAAGTTAGAAGTGAAGCCGCACAAAACTTACCGTGCCGAAATACTGCTCATACATGCCCTGAGCACTGTGGCATCTCGAAAGGGTTGTACAAGTTCCTAGAGCCTCGCTAAGAAGCTCCATCTCCTCCCACTATTAAACAACATGGATGATGTACTTTCAAAACATCGTATTGAATAGGAGGAACCATTTGAAAGCAGTTTGAGTTCGCAACAGGTCAGCATACGACTTGGACTTATTTGAGTAACTCCAATCCGGTCGTGATAACTGCTGCCCATCCACGGCACGCTTGGCTAATTGTGGTCAGGGAGGTTAACCTAATCTCATCAGATCAACGGTACTCTACGGCCAGAGCAACGCCGCGATCAGGTGTTGAGTTGGTGCTAGCACATGTTTGCATGCATGTGGGGAACTACTTGATTTAGTAAGGCCTTAGGCTCTCCATTCGAATAAGACAACAAAAAAACGTTAGAATATCATAACTAAATATACTCCTAGCTTTTAGCTCAGTTGGTCTGGATCCGGTTCAGTCTGACCTGATTATCAGTTGGTCCTCCGAGAGCTGTCATCTTCACGAGGTCTTTATATAGTGACCTAACATCTCCCCGACAAGTTGGACAGTTGTCCGCCTGTCTCAACCATGTGTCAATACAATTTTTATGAAAGAAATGATGACACGGCAAAATACGAACGAGATCGTCCAATTCGTAAATGTCTAAAAAGGCAGCATAATTATTCAATCAGCAAAATTCATTTAGAGAGAAGTACAAGATTAAGTAATGGAGAAGGGGTCATCGCGTGTAAAAATCTAAGATATGCATACAAATCGAAATCTCCCCTTCCTCAGGTTGCATAAAAATTGAACAACCCAAAGTGACGACTGTAAAAGAAAGTTTTATAAGAAAAGTAAACCCTGGCTTACCCAAGCATATGGCACAAGGCGAAAACGTGGAGAGGTCTGGTCTTAAAAACCGCGAAATGAGGGAACTGGAATCCAGTTGCAGATTTATGTCTAACGCATTATGCGCTATCAAGAAAGTGGCTTACTCCCGCTGGATGTGAACGCCACCGTAGCCACGGGGAGATTATTGAGACAATCTTGCATCGGAGGACCATGAACCGGACACCAAAGCGATCGATGAAACCGGTTTGCATAGTTCCGATTTTCATTACTAGGCGCCATAAATGTAAGAAATATATGTGGAAATATACCATTTGACTAATAGTTTTTAAGGGTTTGATTGAAATCTTTTATATTATGACGTTTATGCCTGGTCTTGGAAGTAAGGAAAGGGAACTTCAATTGTCATTAAAGTTATTCACATAAAACAAAACCAGCACCAAAGTACTGATGTGAATGTATCTCAAATGAAACCTTTTACTTAACTGCAACTGTTGCAGCCGTCTCAGTCACTCAAGAAAACTCTTAAAAGTCATTTCTCGCATAATGAAGAGGTTACAAGACTTAGTTTAACTTTACAAGAGTGAAAAAGCATAGCACACAAAGGCGCTAACCTTGCCTGAAAAGCCTGTCCAAGCCTAATTCTATGGTGTGAACGCCCAATGCGACTCGAATGGGCCATGGATGTAGCACTCAGTCCAATTGAATATTGCTGCAGCGAGTAGAACTCTAATGTCTGATACTTTTAAAGTTCACTCCATGGCTGTAGCTTGTTTTACCGCAATGCCACGGAAAGCTAAAGTGCTTCTCAAAGTCCGCTTTTAATTGCTGAACTCTTGCTTTGAAACAAAATGAAGCAAGCGTAGAAACCATGCAACAGGTGGAGGATTAGCGATCCGGCGATCACTTTTAACTTGTCATTAAATAAGGAAAAGCCAAGCGAGCTAGTTTAATGGGGCGTAGGAAAGGCTCAGTACTTGTAGAGTAGCTGTGTCTTTGAAGTGAATATCGATTTTGTTTTATCAAGCCACCTATTTTAGCATGCATTGAAAATACTCGGTAATCAGATTTCGTGTCTTTGCAATGTCTCCGTGTTTCGACGACGATTTCTTCGTCTCCAATCCGGACTTTTCACATGCTTTTTTGAATCGCGATGCTATTTTTCCGTTAGGGTGCCATGTAGATACAGGCATAACCTCCGACACAGTAAGGTTATTGTACCAATCAATGAATGATTTCGTCCGCCAAGCCACTGAGGCATTTGTAACAGATTTGGATAGAGTAAACTCAATCGCAAGTCAAAAACTCCTGTGCGTGCTGGTTTGTTGCATTGTTTTACGGTTCTTGTAACGTTTATTTTTAAACATATCATAAGTTTGATTGTACTCCCCATTATCGTTCAGTCTATTAGTACTTCTTTCTTAGCGCTTTAATGGCGTTCTAGTCCTGTTTCACGCCATTTGGATGTATTTTTTAAAACATCTTTGAATGTAGTAGTAACCCAATAAGTGTATGCCAGCGACGCATATGCCATCGGCAGCGGCGATTGCAGGAATACGAATCGAACCTTCGTAGACGTAGCACCCCACCACCCATTTCATTTTCGGCTTCCTCCCGCCGAGCGATTCATTATTTAGACTGCCTACCTGTTTCCACAGTTCGCGTTCGAAATTTTAATCAGCCTGTTCTGACAGAAAATAGCCCTCAAGAATGGCAAGTTTATCTGTACAATTCTGCATATGCTAATTCACATTACTTACCTTTTAAAATCTCGGATGCTCCTAATTTTATCACGAATCACGTTCGGACTGCAGCTCTTTAGAGGCATGCCTACATACATGTATCCACCAAGTTTTTGTGCTTGATCTTATTCACTTTTGGAAAATATAACAGTTTTGGTAGTGATTAAAGATACTTCATAGAGTAGTTTTCTATGACAGTGTTATGTATCACAAGCTTTACATGCGTTAATAATTCCTATTCGTTTTAGTCAGTAAGGTATTACACCGCTTGGGGATCAGAGCTGTAGATAAAAGCTTCAGGTGCTCCATTTTTTAAATCACTTTTAGTTTTTAACTTGCAGTTCCTTTTCTGATAGTTCCTCGGATAAAACTCCCAATGCTGCCGACAGTGGCTCAAAATATGCAGGTTCATCAAAAATGTCAGACAGTGTGCTTGAGTATTCCCTTTGCATAGAGCGCAATACTGAATGTCGCATGCGACATTTGATACCACTGCAGCCCTTGTGTGTTGGACCTAATGGCCGAAAGCCGGAGTGTGACATTTGTTTGTGTTAGTCTAAGTTATTTTTGTTGACTTAAATGTGGTAATATTGGTGACTGATTCCTTTATCCCAACTATTCACTGTGATTAGTCATTGGCAACTATTAAAACTTGTATTACTCGATCTTAATTGTCACGAGATGAACTGCTGCCTTTTTAGCTTGAAGTCATCCTATTCTTTGGTAAGAACTCCCTGATTATCGTAACAATGCTTAATAAATCAATTTAGCAATGGTTAAAATGCATTACTTGGATTGATTTTCCTCTAGTGAATACGTTATCAGAGCTCAGTTTTGTTCACCAATACTAGTGCTTTTATGAGTGGCCAAGTTCAGTGAAGTGTCACAATGACTGTTCCTTGTGTACAAAACCCTATAGCAGAATACGAGACGGGGCACAAGCTGCGACATCTGCCATGCGGCCACGGCTTCCATCGAGAGTGCATTGATACATGGCTGGGAACGGCGGAAACTTGTCCTAAGTGTCGCAAAAATGTGGTGGGCTGTCTGCGCCGCCTGCAAACGAAGGAGGCTCACATGCGCTCTCAGTCTCTCGGTAAACCACTTCCTTCTCTTCGCGCTCCCTCAGCTGTCACAGGTGGCACCGCCAATTCCTCAGTGCGCTTCCCACATCCCCTCTTGAATTGACCATAGCTGACTTTCGCGACAATCTACAAACCAGGCTGGAGCAAGCATAGTTTTCTTAATACATGCTGAATAAATTCGAATTTTTATTAACTTTTCTGCTGTCATTTGTTTTGTCATTTAAAAGTCTGAAAGAGGAAAGTTTTATCATGCAACCACTTTAAGTCCCAGCAATGGTCCAAATCAAACCTTCGCAACCTTGTGTTATTGTTAGCAAAAATAACGTTCGAAAGCCTAGTACATAAGCATTGGTGATTATAATTCTCAGTATTTCGGATGTGTAAGTTTTTCTAGTCACTGATTAAGGTTTTGCTTCGTACTTTGAGGCACTTTTTG